ATATATATATATAAACTTGATCATTTACAGATATTGAGATAAATCTAATGTAATAGCATCCGGGACTGATACCATCATACATTTTTAGTAATAAAAGAAAATTACAAGAGCTTTGTTGAAAATATTGCCAATTAACTATTTGCTGTCAGTTCTGTCTCTTTGCAAAATATCTATCTACAGGACAGACATTAATGAAAATGGAGGTCATTACTAGATGAACCTCCAAAATGCTCATTACCTTAGGAATAATCCTATTTCAAGATGGCTGCCACAGGCAGTTGACTTTAGAAACAGAAAAGTATGTAATTCAATCATTTTTACAAATATTGCACTACAGTCTGAAGCTGGTGATACAAAGGCAAAACAATCTTGTTCTAAAACTCTGATGAAAAGATATGAACAATATCCTGATGCATGCCCAATAATCCAGGTAGATACCTCTGACAAGGTTGAGTCAGGTCCTCTGGATGGGTTCTTCTTTGTTGAATCATTTGGTCTTTATCAAAAATACTTCTTCAATCCAAGGAGATGCAAGTAAACTTAAGGGCCCAACATACTCCATTCGAAGTCAAACAGTCGACTTGCGGACATTTGTTTGAAGACCTGACAACCTTGTTAGATATGAACTATATCCATTCCTTTAAAGAATGATAGACCTTTAAATAAATGTTTGCAATCAGGTTCACAAAGTTTTTCTGACAATATTTTTTTGCAGTCTGTAGGGCTCCACAATGCTCTACTTTTATATAGCTATACAAAAGAGTTCATGTTCTCTCTCAGTTGGAGACGATGCTTTATTAAAAAGTTTATGCATTCATTAGTGTGAAAAATGTAATCCTTCAATTTATTTGATAAGTATCATTAAGTGTAAAGTTAGAGTGTGCTTAAGGTGTTCTTGCTCCAGTTTAATAGTGCATGACTTCCAAGGTTTTGCTGTTATTTCTTTGATTTTTTTCTAATCAAGATTTATTGATGTGCCATTTGCTGTTGCATTACTATCAATCATAACTTCCTACTTTATAAGTAATGCATTAGCACTGCCTCTGCACACTGCATAAGCCACACTCAGTTCCGTGTTTCTATAAATGCTAAATGGTAATACTGTAGTTTGAAACTCAGAGGTAGAAAACAAAAAGAATTGAGATGTTTTATTTTTTATTGATTGAAATCAAAGAAATGAATAGGGACAAAGTGATTTGTGAAGTCAGTCAAATTAAATGGACTGGGAGTGAGCTTATTAAAATATTACATTTCTTTTCTATCAAAAGTTAAAAAGCTCAAACTACTGAGACCTCTCTTCTTCTCGGTCCTAAAATCAGATACAAATTAAAGTCTTTGAAGTTTGTTCAAACAATAAAACAGCCACCAGGGAGCAAATCCAGCTGCTAGGAAACACAAGCCATTGTATCTCTTGTGCTGGTCCCAAGAACAAGGAAATGGTGGGAGTCTGAAAGGGCACCAGCATTAAACATTTTGGTTAAAACAAATATGCAAGTTTGTCCAAGCAATACCATACCAGATCAAACAAGGCCCAGGCTGCATAAATAGACACATTGGTGAAGGAAACAGAGGTAATGAAGAAGTGACGACTAGGTCTGGTGTCAGGGAAAGGAACTAGGAAGGACAGATGGTGGTGGATTTTGCCAAGAGGATGGAAATGATTGTAGTCAACTCTCCATCTCCATCATCTACCTTTTATACACAGTCTGGTTGCAGAGACAACATGTCCAGAAAAGAAGCACAAACACCCCTCTCTCCAGCAATACTCTCCAACTCCTCCTGGGGTATCTAGACCAGACCATTTCAAGCCTTTAATTTGTATCTGATTTTTGTAACAAATAGAGAGGTCTCAGTAATTTAGACTTTTTAATTTTCAATAGAAAAAAATAGTGATATTTTAATAAGCTCACTCCCAGTCCATTTAATTAGGCAAGGCTTTCCCAGGTCAGAAAAAAAATACATTGTCCATCCAGTGAAACCTGGGTCTGACCTGGAGCCTCTTACTAATGGAATGTGCCTGGAAAACCTCTGAAGGGAGAACATCCAAGAAGCATCCTAATCAGATGCCAGAACCAACTCAACTGCTTTTAATGTAAAGGAGCAGTGGCTCTACTATGAGCTTCCCCAAAATGAGGTTTCTCACCCTATCTCTCAAGGCTCCCACAGACTCAGGCGTACTTCAGTCCGCAGAGGTTTGCGCGTACCTTATTAGATTTGAAGCGGACGCCCGCAAGGTATGTCGGTGCGAAAATCAATTTTTATGACCGCATACGCGTACTCACTGTTTAGTATGAGACACCAATGTATTAAACTTCCCTTCTTCATCCCTGATCCGGTTTAATGGCTTTTTGTTTTTTTGCCAAGAGGCAAGCAATCTCTTCCTCCTCATCCATTGACGCCATGACTGAAATTGGGAGAAATTAAGGAATTTGTCACGAGAGAATTAAAATCAGGCCCTACAGGGCTGCGGGAGGGTCTGGAGATTTCCCGGTGGGCCAGTCTGATGTGTGGGCTGCAGGGCCAGTGCTCCCTGTTTTTTTTTTTGTTTGTTTTTAGAACTTTTTTATTAACAACATATAAATACAGAACACTGCTGCTGCTGAGCTGCCAGCTCTCTGTTTTTTTTCTTTTTTTTCTTGTTTTTGCAACCTGTCAATCAATCCAGTAGGCGTGTCAGCAAATGACCTGTCGGCGACCTCAATTTGTCCCGAAGGTAAATGCCCCTTGCCTGTGGACCTGGGCTGCAGCCCGTCAGGGTGTACGCACAAGTATGAAGTCTCAGCCATCTCTGGGCAGTGCACGCAGTGTCCACGCAGCTCAACATATGCCCGAGTCTGTGAGAGCCTTAAGGCTGAGCCTGGTCATCCTACGAAGGAAGCTCATTTTGGCTGCTTGTATCCTGGATCTCATTCTTTCAGTCATGATCCAAATCTCTTGACCAAAGATGAGGATTCAAATGTAGACAGAACAGGATATTCAAAACTTAACCTTTCAACTCCTCTTTTTCACCATGACTAACCAAAGCAATGCCCTCTATACAAGGCCCCAATTTGTCAATCCACCTCTAACTCCATCCTGCCCATATACTTAAAATCCTCCACCTGAGGGAAAGATTCACTCCAACCCAGAGGGGACATTTCACCTGTTTCTGGTCGAGAACCACAGCATCGGACTCCTCCCAATCACACCCATCCTAATATCATTGTTTCCATCATGGACAATGAAGTCACCCAGTAGAACCTAGACAGCACCCCTTCCAGGACACCATCCCCAGACTCCAAAATGGCCAGTAAATCTGAAGTGCATAAGTACAAATGACAGTCACCTCATGCAGTTGCAGAGAGGCAACCCGCTTGCTCTCAGAGGAAAACTTCAACTCAGTTGGCGTAACTCAGACTTATACAGCAGGTCAGGAACCTTACTCACCAATGAGGTGACATTCCATGTCCCTAGAGCAAGTTTATACCACCCAAAATCAATATGGCTAGTGACCCTCCCACACCTCTCGTCTGGCTTGCATTGCACCCAACCTTGATTGTCCACTTTGCAAGTCATGGGTCCATGTAAAGGTTGCATCCTGACTTTCATTTAGGCTTGGTCCAGCCAAGAACCAGGAATCAAGGCTCGACTACCAGGCACTTGCCGGCAAACTTCCACCAAGTCTAGCTCCAGGGAGACGCCCTAGATTCCCTTCTCTGGGCAAGGTTTCCTGATGCAAATCTTGTTTCATTCATCAAGGGGTTTTAGTTTAACTCCAATTTTTGAAAGAGGAAGGAACATAGGGTGACCTATTTTTGTCAGTGTTGGGTGCCCACTTTTGTTTATAATTTGAATTATGTATTAGATATGAAGTTTGTGTTCTTGATTTTTGCTTGTTTGTTTGTTCTGGTCCTGTTAGTAATCTGCTGCTACTTGCCACTGTTCTTATTCACTCAGTTTGCTTCTAACATTTGTATATTTTTCTTACATGTCTGGTCCTTTTTGTACCCTTTTGTTCCTTCTCTCATCTTTTTCATCTCTGTGCATTTTCCCTCCCCTGTCTTGCCCCACTTCTTCTTTGCAGGTACTGAAAGGTTTCCCAGAGTGTCTCCAGGCAGATATTTGCCTCCATCTAAACCGAACATTGCTGCAGAACTGTAAAGCTTTTAAAGGCTCTACTAAGGGCTGCCTCAGGGCTTTGGCTATGAAGTTCAAGACCACACACGCGCCCCCGGGTGATACGCTGGTTCATGCTGGGGATGTCCTCACTGCCCTTTACTTCATATCCAGAGGATCTATAGAGATCCTCAGAGGAGATGTGGTGGTAGCTATCTTAGGTAATTAATTATTTTCTCTAACTTGTACGTCATTTCTTAACAGCTGTTTGGTTCAGTATGTTGGTGGGCTGGTGCTGATCTTTAGCAGTCACAAGTCCATCCCCTTGCCACACTGAGACAAACTAGACAGACAAGGGTTTATGCTGTGAGATGTAGCTGCATCTCAGCTAATCTCTAATCTTTGTGTATTATAACTTGTTACATGACACAACGTATATTTTGCCTACTTGGTTTTTACAGGATACATGTCTTGGTTTAGCATATTTCTTAGTTCATATGTTAGATCTTATTACTGTTTTTCGTTTACAATTTATACTTTGGTTGGATGTAACTGGGACCCTGTATACACAATTTTGTTCCGCTACATGTACCACATGAGATGCGAATGACAATAAAGAAACCTTGACCTTGTCCTTGGTAGCAGTGTTTACCATGGAATTCTGATCATACATTAACAAAATAGAAAGATTACCAAGAGGGATGAATACTTTTGGAACACACTGTGGGTCTGATTGTTCATATACAAGCTGCCTTTCATCAACTGTGAATCCTAAAACCTTTCTTACAGTGCCATCTACTGGAAAATCATTAAATTACAAATAATTAGTGTAAGAAGAAATAAAAACAGCATGAAGAGGGTGAACTCTATTTCAACATTACCAAAAGTTTTACCAAAATACAGTTTCAGAATAGTTTATACCGTTTAAAATACATGATGTTTATATAGAAAGCACATGTAATTGTCTTCCTGGGGATGTTTTGCCTATTATCTGAATTTTTTATTTTATTTTATTTTTTTTAACTAACTGGTAAAGAATGTTGAAGGTTGGAAGCTCTTATGGGATCCTATCTGTGGCCTTTTGTTATATGTGCACTCTGAGATGTTAGGTGATCCTTAACAGTAAGCCTATATTGTTTTGTATGATCCAGGTGGTTGTGGAACTGAGTAAGCACCAATTTTTGTTTTTTGCATAGAGACGGAAAAGGTCACCAACTCTGTTGATATTTCCTTTTTACTTCTTTAAACATAGGTAGGTTCTTTCTATGATTTGAAAAAAAAAATAGTTCTTCACATTTTTTTCTTTCTTTCCTTGACAGGGAAGAATGACATCTTTGGTGAGCCCATCAACCTATATCCCCGACCTGGTAAATCCAATGCTGACGTGAGAGCTCTCACTTACTGCGACCTCCATAAAATTTTTAGAGAAGATGTTTTGGAAGTGCTGGACATGTATCCAGAGTTTGCAGATCCCTTCTGGAACAATTTGGAAATCACCTTCAACCTCAGAGATGTGGGTTTCTTGAGAAAGTAAAATCAAAGAGGAAAACCTTCTGTAATTGTGTGAAGTAAATATAGCGTTTATGTTAAAAGACACAATAAGATTCTGCTTTGAAGGCTTTAGAAATGTGAATCGATGCTGTGTTTTCCAATTAGTTTGATACACCTCGTGTCAAAATGGCACTTGTGTTTTAATGGAGAATATTGATGTTTATTTCAGACAAACATGATCCCAGGCTCTCCAAGCAGTGACGACTCCACCTGTGGAGGATTTAACAAATTACGGAGACGGAAGTTATCATTTCGAAGACGTACAGAAAAAGGTTATTTGTTCTCTGTGAATTGTGTGTCACACTTTAGTTTATTTGTGCAGTTTGTTCCAAAGCCTGGGACATTTATGTTCTCCAGTTTCATAAACCTTTACACGGAAGAAAAGGTAACACTTTACTTTCCATGAGTTTTCTTCAAACTTTGCCTCAATTATTAAAAAAGCTTACATTTTGCAGTAGAGTTTGAAGCAAATAAACAATAAAATGAAAGAGCTCATTAACAAACTGGATTAAATAATTAAAAAAATAAATAAAAGCAGACATTCCATCATTCGGCTCAGGTTGTGAACTGATCCTTATCTTGACTGGATATAAACATTCCTGTTCTTATCAGTGTTCTTATTATGAATTATTTACATTCAGTACATACCACAAGCAACTGCAGAGAGGCAACCTTCTTGCAATCTGAGGTTTTTATTTCAAAGTAGTTCAGAATCAACAAATGAAATGGCACAAATATAGGATATGTCACACCAATGCACAGTAGAGCTGCCATTTCTAACCCGAACCCGGATCCCGATGCTGCCCGACCCGGATTTAGGCCGGGCCATTATAATGTGCTTAATACCATACCATACCACTTTATTTATAAAGCACTTAAAACAGCTACAAGGCCAACCAAAGTGCTGTACAGACAGAACAACAGGTAACACACAAAGCAATATACAAAATGAGGTAAATCAGAATATAGACATAAAAAACGATGCAGATAATGACGACAAACTAGTGTGGAGCATACAGGATCAAAACACAGATCATCTGGTGTTGAAAGCCACCGAATAATGGTGGGTTTTTAAACGGGACTTGAAAACCGAGAGGGAAGGGGCCTGTCTGACAAGCAGAGGTAACTCGTTCCAGAGTCTTGGTCCTGCTACAGAGAAGGCCCGGTCACCTCTGCGCTTAAGACGAGTTCCTGGAACTGTGAGGAGCAACTGGTCCGCTGACCTCAGGGAGCGTGGTGGGACATACGGTTGTAGGAAATCAGAGAGATGGGGGGGGGGGGGGGCAACACTGTTCAGTGATTTGTAGACATACAGGAGTATTTTGAACTGGATTCGAAGGTGAACCGGTAACCAGTGCAGAGAGGCCAAATCTGGTGTAATGTGCTCTCTTTTGCCTGTACTTATTAAAAATCGGGCTGCTGCGTTCTGGACCAGTTGTAGTTGTGCAATGGAGGTCTGACTGATACCAAACAGGAGCAAATTGCAGTAATCAAGCCTAGATGTAATGAATGCATGTATTACTGTCTCCAGGTTCTTTTTGGACAATATGGGCTTCAATTTAGACAGCCGCCTCAGTTGGAAGAAGCATAATTTAACAATCATGTTTACATGACTGTTAAGTTTCAGGGAAGGGTCCATTATCACTCCCAGATTAGTGACTCTTTGTTTTTCTGACAGGGTTAGAGCGGAAAGGTCGATGCAGTGGTTTGTGATCGTGTCGTTGGGAGGGAACAACATGACTTCAGACTTCTTTTCATTGAAACTTATGAAGTTTAAAGCCATCCAGTCCCTGATGTCAGCCAGGCAGTTGAGCAGCGGTTGAATAGAGCATGTACCATTGTGTCTTAGGGGGAAGTAAATTTGACAGTCATTGGCATAGAAGTGGAAGGGCATGTTGTGTTTCTGGAAAATAGCACCAAGTGGCAGCAGGTATAAAGAGAATAGGAGGGGACCCAGGATGGACCCCTGCGGAACCCCCCATCTAAGCTCTGCCTCTGCGGAACTAAAATCCTTGATGGAGACACAAAAGGATCTGTCAGCGATGTAAGATCTGAACCAATTGAGGGCTGATCCTGTGATGCCCACCCACTGCTCCAACCTAGCAATGAGGCTCTCGTGGTAGATGGTGTCAAAGGCGGCTGTGAGGTCCAACAGGACAAGCAGCACAGAATCACCAGTATCTGTGGATCTGAAGATGTCGTTAAAGACCTTCAGCACGGCAGTTTCAGTGCTGTGGAGAGGTTTAAAGCCAGATTAGAATAGCTCTAAGATGGCGTGATCCTCCAGGAAGCACTTCAACTGGGACTCGACTATTTTTTCCAGTAGTTTAGAAGCAAATGGGAGTTTGGATACAGGCCGGTAGCTGGATACGACTGAGGGGTCAAGGTTTTTTTTTTTTCAGGAGAGGCTGGACAGCAGCATGTTTAAAGGATTTTGGCACCACGTCAGTGGATAAACTACTGTTTACTATATCATGAATGGATGGACCTAGAGTTGGAAAAAACTCCTTTAGTAGTCGAGGGAGGACCACAGCAAAGGGGGAGCCAGAAGGTTTCAAGCTGCACATGACCTGCTCTAGAGAAGATAGAGTGATGGGTTCAAAATTGTCAAATAGAGCTACAGACTGAGTTGGGATGGATGGGTCATGAGTTGGAGGGGAAATGAGAGCCCGGGTGGTCGCAATTTTTTCCAAATAGAAATGTAAGAAGTTGTCGCACAGATCAGTCGAGGCTTCCAGAGGAGATGGTTCAGTGAGGTGGAGAACAGAGTTTAGGGTGGAGAAGAGGACACGTGGGTTGCGAGAGTTTGAGGTAATTATATCAGAAAAGTATTTGGATTTAGCAGCTTTCACTGCTTTCTGATAACAGCGCCAACTCTCTTTAAGTATTTGGAAAGAGACCTGCAGCCTGTCTTTCCTCCACTTTCGTTCCGCCCTCCTACATTGCTGCCTAACGGCCTTGGTGACGTCACTCAGCCAAGGTTCTGCTCTGAGTTTTGATTTTCTAGTTTTAACCAGAGCGACATGATCCAGAGTCTTTAAGCAGACAGAGTTGAACTGGGATGTCAGCTCCTCAGTGGTGGTGAGAAACACCAGGGGCTGAATTATCATTTCAGAATTGTAAACATCTGTGAAACGTGTGGCAGTGAAGTGGTTAATAGCCCGGGTCCTACGTTCAGGAAAGCACGACTTAGGAGTTAGATGGGGTAGGGTGAACTCAAACTGGACTGGCATGTGGTCTGAAAAAAATATCACCAATAACAAGATTATTAACAGTCACATCATGAGTTAAAACAAGGTCCAGTGTATGTCCACGCTCTTGGGTGGGACCGTTTACATGCTGAGTTAGATTAAATGAGTCCAATAAATCTAAAAAGTCCTTAACCAAGGGCTTCTCAGGACAGCACACGTGCAAATTAAAGTCACCAATAATGAAAACATGCTCATATTTTGGTGTTATTTCAGCCAAGAAGTCAGAAAACTCATTTATGAAATCCTTAGATCGAGGTGGGCGATAGATGAGTGCAAATAAAGTCGGAGGTGAATGTCCAAGTTCAAAGACGCTCAGCTCAAAGCTGGCGCGGGAAACTGGGATGAGCAGTTGTTTACAGTCAAAAGTTGATTTGAATATTGTTAATAATCCACCACCGCGCCGGCCTGATGGCCGCGGGGCGTTAAAATACAGACAGTTTGGTGGAAATAATTCCGTCAAGGCGCTGGACTCACCCGGAGACATCCAAGTCTCTGTCATGCAGAAAAAGTCTAACCTGTGCTCTTGAAAGTAATCCCTGAGGATAAAAGTTTTGTTGGTAATAGATCTTGCGTTGACCAAACACATCCGGATACTGTCCGAAGTGGAGCCAGCAGCGGTGGAGGGAGCGTGCGCTAATGGTCGCAGATTTTCAATAACAGCCCCTCCAGGTCGGTCCGAGCGGTGCACCGGCTGACAACTCCCGTTGGTTACCTGGTCCGGGCATGCGGGAAGTGGCGATGGAGACCATGACCGCCAGCTGAAGAGGAAGATGCAGTGCGCAGAGCTTTAAGCTTCACCAGCTGACCAGCATGTTTTCCCCGGCGTCTGAAGCAATGTCTCTGGGCAGGCAGGTGAGGAGCGCAGCGATGGTAAGCTGGCATGTCCGCCGGGGGGGGGGGGGGGGGGGGGTATTGTCCAGAGGTATTCTGATAATGGTCTAAATAAGCAACATCAGTGACAGAAAAACAAAGTTCCGAAAGTTGTTGTCTGTCATACACCAGCAGAGAGTTGATGTCACAGATGTGAAATGCAAAAAACAAAAATAATCCAAACACCATCAGCAGAGGTGGATTGCAAGCCATGTACATGGGCGCCATCTTACCAGAAGATGTGCGGGCCGGTGTCGGGCTCTTGATTGCATCAGCGGACGCACGTGGCTGACAATCTAATAATATGGCAACATGGCTTGCCATACTTCACCAGCCACATGTGGCCATTTGACTGTACGCTGACTGGCCGTGAAAGAGGTAAAAAAAAAAAGTTCAGTTAAGCTTCAGATGGGACTATACTGCCAGGCAGCGATCCATCAATGCCCAAATGGACGTTCATTCAGCCACTGCACTCAGCAGATGCACGTAGCCGACGACCCAAACAGGTGAGATCCCAAAATATCCGACATGTCAGAGCAGGGTCCGTGTGTGAATAATGCAGAATACAGGCAGAAGCAGGGATTTAATGCGTTTTGATGGCCATGAAAGAACAAACACCCCCTCAGCTCCGATCTTCTGCCTCCTTAGCCACGCGTGTCCGCCGACCATTAATAACTATATAAGCAGTCAAAGCTTAATTAAAAATGTTGGGGGTGGGGTGTCATGTTCGTACCTGTAATTACTGTTAATGCATCGGGTTGGGTGGGGTTCGGAAATGATGGCTACGGGCTGGGTCAGATTTTTTGGGCCTGAATGCAACTCTACTGCACAGAAAGAGCTACAAGAATTAGAACTTCTAATATTAATAAAACTGCACTAGGTACCACTTTACAGTAAGGCTCCCTTCATAGATGGCTGTAAATAGTTTATAGATAATTATTAATTCCCCTATAAACACTTTATAAATCATTAACTGCTTATTACACATTAATTAAGGATGACAGAGAGACAAAATGGACCAGTTTCTTACTAAATAGTGAGCCAAATTTGTTCACATATATATTTAATCTCGAGTTGTTATATTAGACATTTCAGACTAAGTTACTACCTTGTAAGCACAATAAGCATTTGTAAACCTACTTCTTTAGCATATAATATTGTATTGTATCACTGCATTATATCTACAACTAATATTATATGCTAAAGAAATAGGTTTACAAATGCTTATTGTGCTTACAAGGCAGTAAATTGGTCTGAAATGTTTAATATAACAACTGTAGATGAAATCTAAAAAAGTCTCTTGGATGAGAGACGAAACGTTTCTACATTTTTTTGTTGTTTTGCTTTGTTTTGTTTTTTTGAATGTCCAGAGGACCAGATTTAACTTTTTTAGATTTTTCTACCTGTATTATTGAGCATGCATCAGGATGTAGATGAAATATATAGGTGAACAGATTTGACTTACTATTTGGTAAGAAACTGGTCAGTTCTGTCTTTCTGTCACCCTTAATTAATGCGTAATAGGCAGTTATTAATGATATGTAAAGTGTTTATAGAGTAATTAATAACATATCTATAAACTATTTATAGCCATCTATAAGAGGAGACTTGTTGTAAAGTGGTACCCAGCACTATTGTGTCAACAAATCTGGACCAAAGTATTAAAAATATTTCTTACTATTATTTCCATCTCAACATTCATTTAGGAAAATATGGTGAACTGCATCCTGTTTATTCAGTTATGCTTGGCAGATTATTATTTTCTTAATCTGGCTTTAATGACCTTTTTCCAGATGATGCTGGTGAAATTAAAAAAATACAGAAATCTGCGAGGCAAATACAGAAAGAGGCAAACAGCAACAAAAAAGAGAAAGAGAAAGTAGTTAAGACACAATGGGGGGCATGTCGGAGCTCAACGTCTCCAAACTCCAGCGGGGATGAGGTAGTATGTCAAATTAATATTATGGCTTGTTAAAATTATTTTGTGTGTTTTTTGTGTGTGTGCATTTGCATGTGTGTCCTATACCAGAGAAAATAGAACAACATTCTTAATCTATTCTAACAGGGAGATGGGTCAATCATGATAGGCCTCACTTCACCACCTACAACACTGGAGGCTCTGAAGACTCAAGCCCCACCCAGAAATATGAATGACAATACCAAGAGTGATGGGGACTCCAAAACTGGAAACACATGCAATAAGTTCTCAGGTAAACTTTCAGTGAAGAGCATTCCATTATCTTTATGTAAAGCTAATCGCATCACCCCTCCGTGCATAACATACTGGTTTCTTCCACCTTCAGGAGCCTTTTCTGAGGTGTCCAACATGTTCAGTTTCTGGGGAGAGAACCGAGTGGCTAGTCGATACCAGGAGGTCCCCAGCAGCAGCCTTGCCTCCCCTCCACCACTGAATATGTCAGTGCACAGCATAAACCAACAGAAACGCAGTCAGCTGGACACACGGCTGGACCTGCTGCAGAAACAGCTCAACAGGTACAACAAGTATCTGTTTCCTCTCATCATGTCTTTGATAGTGTGTGTCAAAGTATAAAGGCTTACTGTAAGCTTAGACATTGCTTTCAATTAACACGCCCGCTCTTGATTTATGATTCTTTGTTTGTTTTTTTTTGTTTGTTTTTTTTTTTTTTTTTTTTTTGGGGGGGGGGGGGGGGGGGGAAAAGGATCTTGGCAAAAAGCCCTTCCTGAAATAGTTTTTTATACAG